AGTGGTTGGTGATATATGTCAAGTTAAATATGGTGAGTTTACTGTTGTAGACTTGTGTGTTCTCACCTAGAACACTTACATTAGACACACATTCCTGTTAGTGAGATAGTGGTTGGTGATATATGTCAAGTTAAATATGGTGAGTTTACTGTTGTAGACTTGTGTGTTCCCAGCTAGGACACTTACGTTAGACACACATTCCTGTTAGTGAGATAGTGGTTGGTGATATATGTCAAGTTAAATATGGTGAGTTTACTGTCATAGACTTGTGTGTTCCCAGCTAGGACACTTACATTAGACACACATTCCTGTTAGTGAGATAGTGGTTGGTGATATATGTCAAGTTAAATATGGTGAGTTTACTTGTGTGTTCCCAACTAGGACACTTACATTAGACACACTTTATATCCTTGATTTTAGCCTTGAAAGTGTTCTGAGAAACACTAAGCAACAAGATCAGTAACTTGATAACTAATTTAAAAAATCATAAATGTTCCACCATTGTAAGTTTTGGAAATAAATCATAAAATGTATGAATATTATTTTACTTAACACTTTTTACAGTCTGATAAAATGATCACCTGTGAAATACTTTTTGCAGTTATCTTAAGAAAAAATCATTTTGATATGAAAGCAATATACAGGATGTAAGTAATTTTATATGACCACATGTATTTCTCTGAGTATGTGAACACAAATCTGGCACTGGGAGAGTTTTTGTCTGTGAAATGTCAGGAAAATTTTCAAACAATATGTCAGTTTATAAGGAGAGTGAATAAAATGCATGTATTTATTGAATCTTGAACTAGTATTACTAGTTTCTAGATGAAAACATAAAGATATGACAGAGAAATAAATCTAAAATGTAGTTAGAAAAATAGATAAGTATGAAAAATGGTGTTGTGTAGTAGTTTAAACAACATACATCAAGTAACTTGTGTGTTTTTCTGCTGAAATGTACTTATGAGATTTTCAATTAAAAGTACTGTTACATTTTCTGGATTTGAATTCACAAATGTAGGGGTCCTTCAATGCTAGACCCGAGTGGTTAGGGAGCTTGTCTCGCAATCTGAGGATTGTGGGTTCGATTCCCTGTCCCACCAAACCTGCTCACCCTTACAGCATGGGAGCATTATAATGTGATGTTCAATTCCTTTATTTGTTGGTAAATGAGTAGCCCAAGAATTGGCAGTAGGTGGTGATGACTAGCTGCCTTCCCTCTAGTCTTTCACTGCTAAATTAGGGATGGCTAGAGCAGATAGCCCTCATGTAGCTTTGCACGAAATTCAAAAGAAAACAAACCTTCAATGCTACAGTTAATTTATTATTTGTAGTTTGAGATGTAGTTATTTTATAACCACTCTGTGAAATTTCATTAAATGTCTGTATTCTTTAGGTGATCTGTTACCAGCAGATGGAATTATAATTCAAAGCAATGACTTAAAAGTTGACGAAAGTTCCTTGACGGGAGAATCTGATCATGTGAAAAAAGGAGAAAAATATGATCCTATGTTATTTTCAGGTAGAATAATCTTAAAGCTATCTTATTCCTTTTGCTTTTCTATAATAGGATATTTTGGTATTTTAATCCTTTAATAAAAGCAGTATGGTAAACAAATATCATTTCTTTTAGAACTGCATATTAAACTACAAGAAAGTTTTAGAGATTGGTTTATTTTGTTCTTACACTTTAGTTTAAATTGTGCATGCTTGATTTTTAATTTTGTGAATTACTGGAGACTAAGTGTACGTTAAATGTGTATTCAAAAAGAGAATTTAAAATATAATTGAGAAACATTTGGTATTGTACTAGTTTCATTGCTTTAGAACGTATGGGTGACCACATAATTGAAATAGTACACGCCACAAGATGTTTTACGTTTTCTCTTTCTTCAGAATTATTGGAGACACATATTAAAAGTTACTATTACAAAGCATATGCAACTTTGAGAAAACTTCTAAATATGCTGAAACAGTTTCAAACCCTATTACAACCTTGAATTTTATACATGTGAATTATACTATTCTTTGTATTATATAGTGTAGTAGTTAAGATATTTGTTTTCACGATATTTACTGTGATATAGTCGGTGTTCACAGATAAGCTGATTTTTTCTTCTATAGAATAAAAATTCAACACGTCAATACGTATGTCATGAATTCATTAAAAGAGTTAACCTTATCTGCACCTCAATACATGAGTATCTATATTATGAATTGATTAAAATAGTTAACCTTATCTGCACCTCAATACATGAGTATCTATATTATGAATTGATTAAAAGTTAACCTTATCTGCACCTCAACACACGAGTATCTGTATTATGAATTAATTAAGTGTTAATTTTATCTGAACCTCAATACATGAGTATCTGTATTATGAATTGATTAAAAGTGTTAATTTTATCTGCACCTCAACACATGAGTATCTATATTATGAATTGATTAAAAGTGTTAATTTTATCTGAACCTCAATACGTGAGTACAGATATTATGAATTTACTACAAGTGTGTGTAACTTTCTCTATACCCCAGAGCACCTGTATATCAAATTTCAGAATTTAAGTAAATATAATGATTTCAACAATTTTTAACCAGAAGTACTTTATAATTGATATTTCATCATTGTATAACATTTATTTAGTGTATATTTGCAAAGAAAAACGAAAATAAATATAACGGTTGTCATTTTTGCACAGGTCTAAGGATTCTCACTTGTAAATAATGCATTTATAGATTTTTTTTTAAAATATTTACGTACATCCCAAAGTATAGGTTGTTATTTGCCAAGAAACTTGAAAATGTACAGATTCATCTTTTATTCTTAGTATTATTTTCCTTCTTTGTTAGTGGTTATGGTACTACAACCCTCTTATGGTATCACATTACTAATGAAGTCCAGCTTTTATCCAAGTTAGAACCAATAGTTGAATATAAACTATGTACATCAACATAAAGTGGATTAATGGTTTCTCAAGATACTAACCATCCAGAAGTTCCTTTAGGGGTGAGCAAAAGGAATCAAAGTTAGGAAGACTTTGGAACAAACCATACATCTGGGAATTTTTTTACTGTTTCTTTAGATGTCATTTTTTGTATCTGAAAATGTTTTTGTGTTAAATTATATTTCTTTGAAAACTACTTAAATTTTCTTACGTTTAGCAAATATAGTATGTGTTGGCAAAAATTGTGATGACTCATCTCCTCCTTCTTTATTGAATGTTATTAAGTTGGTCATATTCAAACAATGCATACAAGTAGAACACTTATAGAAAATAAAATATATTAGATCTTGACCAAGAATATTGTTAGCAAAAATCACAATACCTAGCCTGACAAAGGTCGTGGTGATGCCATTTTGAAACAAATATGGCTCTAGGTTACAAATAATTTGTTTACAACTTATACTACAGGCTTTTCGTGCCTCCTGGAATATCTGAAATTAATAATTTTGGAAAATTGTTAACAACTCCTGCATAATCCTGGAAACTTGAAATTGTCTATATTATCTATCGGTGTGCACAAATGTCTGAGACATCCTGCATGTCGGTGTGATGCTAACTTTCAGTTGTCTATGCATGAGCTTCCAATTGTAGGGTTAACAGTAGGTGCTAAATTTTTTAGAGTTTGAACTAAAGCAGCCAGAAGGCACTAAGAAATGATATTTATGTGCAATATTATAGTTCCTTGTCTATTTGTTAGCAATGCTTAATACCAGTGAAATGTTCTAATTGCAATCAGATATCATGTAATTTTTACTAACCTATTAACACCGTTATGAAAGATGATTTTGTCCTTATTTTGTATACAGTATTTCATAGTTTGATTCTGTAGCTTGTAGTGTTATCTATCAAAGAATTTCCTGTGAATATCCTAAACTTTTTCCAATTATTTTCCCCTAAAACTCTTGTAAAAATTTTCATTTGGAAGCATGAAAACCCCGTGTATATCAAGAAGTGGAGTCTGCCAGTATTTTAAAAGTCCATGTATAAATCTACATATCAAAAAGAAATGAATACCAATAAAATCAAAATTGACTGGTTATATAAGATGAGACTTTCTGATAAACACAATTTTGGAAATTCCACAACGTCCAAAAAATTATATTAATACTAATATTTAGTAACTTTGCTCAAAATTTCATGCAATTTGGTTTTATAGTTGCACTGTGTCAATGAAAAAATCAAGGTACACTATAAAGTAATTAAAATGTTTAATGTTTCACAAAGTGAAAGCCTCTTTCTACCTCTGTTCTTACATCATGATTTGCTGACACATGAACTGTGTAGTACTTTGGATGTCTGTTGTTTGGTAAAGTGAAAGCCTCTTTCTACCACTGTTCTTACATCATGATTTGCTGACACATGAACTGTGTAGTACTTTGGATGTCTGTTGTTTGGTAAAGTGAAAGCCTCTTTCTACCTCTGTTCTTACATCATGATTTGCTGACACATGAACTGTGTAGCAGTTTGGATGTCCATTGTTTGATAAAGTGAAAGACTCTTTCTACCTCTGTTTTTACATCATGATATGCTGACACATGAACTTGTTTGGTAAAGATGTTAATATATAAGAAATTTTCAAAAATAGCTAAGTAAACAATTTAGAATTCACATAGCAGGGATTAAATAGTTTAGTTTCCAGTATATATATATATATATGTATTTTTATTATATTGTAGATCATTTTATTTGCCCAAGAAACAGTTTGAAATATAAATGATATTCATTATATTTACCCCTTTGTTTTGGATATATGATAGAAAAATTACCCGAACTTTACTCAAATGTTTAGGTGAGTGCTAAATTTTATCTTTCAGCTAAAACAACTGCCATTCTATTGTCTTGGAAGTTATAGTGGTATCAAAATTATATATTACATTTAAATATAATAAGTGTAACATAGTAGAAAACTGTAGAACACTAGCTCTTAATGAGAAGATACATTTTGGATGTTGGTAGGTTTCAGATGTTAACAGTTTTTCTTAAAGTCTAATAAGGTTGCTAACCAATCAGTTTTAATTAACTTTATTTTTGCTCTTATTGAATTTAAAAATTTATGCTAAAATTGAAAGTAACTAGTCAAGAGATTAACTTGTATATAACCGCATTGTTATTTATCCAGGGTGACTCATTCTCCAACAAATTTATTTGGTCACGTTTTAGTATTTTCTGTCAACCTTTCTAATGATAAAATGTTCTTTTTTTAAAACTACATATATAAAGTAGTCAAGTTAAACTGGTTTCACCATGGGAATTGACACGTTTGTTTGTTCTTATCGAGTGACTTCTTAACGTTGAAAGAATACAACCATTTTAAGTACTTTCATTTTATCTACACTTAGGGACGCACGTAATGGAAGGGAGTGGAAAAATGGTGGTAACAGCAGTGGGTATAAATTCACAGGCAGGTATTATTTTTGCCCTTTTGGGAGCGGTATGCACAGAAACTGAAGAAGAAAAGAAGATGAAAAAGAAAGGTTTGATCAAATGATACTTACAATTAGATAAAGCTAGTGTTAAGCACATGAACTTACTTACTATTAAAAATATTAAATGTTACTAATGTTATGGTCTTTGTTAGACAGAAATAAACTTAACAAAATTAAAACGTCACTGTATTAAATTATCAAAAAGACTAATTTATTTTCTCTGTGTCATGACTAAAATGTGGTTAAAAATTTTGTATATCACAATTTCATCACCTGTAATATTATTTACCTTTGGGTTGGGCAAAAGTGTCTATACAGTTGTTTTATTTAAAACATTGTTTAATTTCTAAATATTACTTTTACCCCACCCTATGTAATGGTTAAGGATTAAAGTGTAATAAAATTCAAAATTTTATTTAAAAAAATAGATAAGTTTAATCAGAAATGTGTTTCACATATAGTTTTAAATATATTTTGTCTTTAAAGCATAAACACTTGATTTTTTAATGTTTCTGATAGTGTTATTTAAAAGGTCTGATAAGCAGTTATGTAGAAATAGGTTTGAGACTGTGTTAAAGATTTATTAACTTCAAACTGCTTGAAATTTTTCCTACTTTCCCTGCATACCAACAAAAGAAGCAAAAAAGATGAAAAAGCAAAAGAAAAATAGCACAGGTGAATAACTTTTCTTACCCTTGTTTACCGAGATTGTGTTTGTATTCTAATATCGAGAACATTAAAACTTCTAGAGCAAAGTACTGTAAAATTGTATAGCTGCAATTAACATGCTTGGAAAAGCTGTGTCGTGGCACAGTTATTTTTATAAATCTCAGTTTTAAAGTTTTGAAGAGATATTTTGAGATAAATTACAAGAAAAAAAAAGAGTGGCTTATCCAACAATATTTATATGTAACTTCATGTCTTATTACTAAGATGATACCAGCTTATTTGGTGTTAAGAATTAACCATTTTATTTAAATACATTGTTCAATTATCATATCTTGTTAATAATCAGGACAGTATAGTTCTTGTAATGTTTGTAAATCTAATCATTGAAACATTTTACTAATGATTTATTAATTTTAGTTGCTGTGCCTAACACTAGAAAAACTTTTATTTGAAAATGAAGTAATTTCAACTTAATAAGGTTTTAACCCTTTTTTTTAATATAACAAATATTACTTGGCTATGCAATTTTTTTTTCTAGATTAAATATGTTGTCCTACTGATTAACTGTAAACTTTTTTGATTGTTGATTATCTGTAAAATAGTTCTAAATTGTTTGATTGTATGATATAAAATCCATAAACCTTCTCCAAAGATATGTTGTTAGCCATCATTTATCAAGGTTAACAAACTTACTGAATAATAATTAAGACCCGTAATCTTCATGTATGAACCACCCTTAAAATAGTTTAAAAGATAATAAATTATGCTTTCAAATTTGAATTACTCTGTGTTTTAGGATTAAAACAACAAACACAGTAATTAATAATTTAATAATTTATTAAATATATGTATAGATGAAAATGATTTTTATTTTGTTTGTCATTTAATTCTTAAGTTTTAATTATGTTTGTTAAACGTTTGACTTAATAACTTTATCATACTTTGAATGTTAGTGTATTTACTGTATTTGTAAATGAATTACATATCAGTTGTGCATAGTTTTTCATTTTTGCTATTTTTAGGCCGATGCGTAATATTGATTTACTTTCAACAGTTTTTTTGCATGATTGATTTGCAGTTTTGTAATGATAACTGATGGTTGTTTGTTTTTTCTAACATTAGCAGCATGCCATAGTGACGCATACAATAACCAGGAATTGTCCCCTTTGACTATTCCTGTTACTGCACCTGGTGGTATGTGTTATTACATTTAATATTTGGTTGCTCGTTTGTCACACCGTTGTTCTGGTTTGTGGTGTACTTGTGTTTAAGCTTCTGGCTTTTGCAATATTGCATGAGCTTTTCAAAGTATCAAACTAATAGAGAAGAAAGATTTCTATGCAAAAGCCTTGGTAATGCCACGTGATTGTTTTCACTAATACCTTTCAAAGCTTGACTTGAATGATGCCTGCTTGCTAAGTGTCACTGTTCAGTCCCAAACATCATTATATTAACTGTGAAGATTAGAATTCACCAAAAGGACTAACATAGGAAACGAATTGGTTACTTTATCCCATAGAATTAACTTGTTTGAAGTAAACGTTCATAGTTTTTTCTGGAGCCGAACTACTCCTAGCACAGAAGAAGTTAGGTTATTAGCACTAACATTTTTTGGTGAGTGGTATTAATGGGAAAATTCCACCTTTACCTTTTGGTGTGTCTGTGCAGGTGACAAAATTTGTGTTTGATATTGTGATTTTATTATATATATATATATATATATATGTGTCTTGTTGAAAAAATATTAGTATTTATTATGTACAGAATAATATTTTGGTATTGCAGTCATGTTAAAAGTAACTGTATATAGTTTTTGAGAATTTGTAGAACTCAAGTAAGAGAACGATACATTGTACATTTGAGTAATTGTAATATTATGGAAGTATATTACACTTCTGATTTGATAATTTTCAGTAAAATACTTCTTTTAATTATGTTTACTGTTGATAAAAATACAACATTTGTAAGGTAAATGAGACACTTGTCTATTGTTTGGATCATTTTGATAATTAAGAATGTACATTCACAAATCATAGTGCAAGCAAAGTACTGGAAATTATTATTTTTTTGTACTTTGTAAATAATATGTGTTACATCGTAGTATAATATATTAAGCTAGATTTATTATTTTTGTCTTGAAAAAAAATCTCGTATATATATATATATATATATATATATATATGTGCGTGTGTGTGGTACTTAAATAAAGCACAACTTAACCACAAAAACATCACCTACAGTTTGAGATAAAAAGTTCTTGAGACCATCAAGCATTTTTGTTTCATAATGAATTATGTAAAGACTGGTTTTACATTCTTCTGAAATTATAATTTATTCATTAGTTTGGAAGTTTCACAATATAATAATATTACAGTAATTAAAAAAAAATAGTCCAGTTTATTAAACTTTAAAAATATGAAACAATATGCTAAGCTTTTGTCAGTATTATTAGGTAAACTCTTAACTCCGGAGAAGTATGTAAGCTGTAACTTTTAGATACGTACTTGCAATCTTTCAATCTGAAAGAGAGATCAAGGCTATTTAGCTTTCCAGTTAAGTTTAGCATTTGGGTTTTCTTAACATTTCATTTAGGTGAACAGTAAACGTACGAGCTTACATTGGTAACAAAACTGGAAACATGATCTGTGTGGTGTCTTAGTATGAGCTCTCATCGATCCATCTACTGAATTAATATTGTCCATGGTCATGGTTTGGACATTAACCTGAGCTTACTTATTTACGTATCAGGAGAATGTATGATATAATTTAATGTTTATTCACCATAGTCTTCAAACTTCAAAAGAAAAAAAAAAAGTGACATTTGCTGTGAAAAATGTTGTGATTTGTGAACAATGATATGAAAATGAAGATATTGTATTTAGTTCCCTCATTATTAATGATATTCTTATAATAAAAAACTCGGGTGTTATTGTTACTTGTTATGTGCTTACCAGTTAGTGACTGTTTAATGCTTGCAGTATTTGGGAAAGTCATTAGCGTGTGTAAATTTCATTGACTGCTGATTCACCCTATAGGGTATGGTCTGCCTTTGGCTACTGAATACAAGTGTGCTGTATACAGTGTACAGCTTGCAAAAATTCCACCTGCTCTCAGAACAGCCGCAGTCAATGGGTTAACAAGCTATATTTTCATTAAGTCAACAAGCATATATACACATTACTGTGAAAAGTGCAATTTTCTTATATAGCTGAAAGGAGTTTGAAATCTTTTAGCTAGCAACAAGAAATTATAATTAATAATTAATTAATAACTGAAAGGAGTTTGAAATCTTTTTGCTAGCAACAAGGAATTATGATTAATAATTAATTAATAACTGAAAGGAGTTTGAAATCTTTTTGCTAGCAACAAGGAATTATGATTAATAACTGAAAGGAGTTTGAAATCTTTTAGCTAGCAACAAGGAATTATAATTAATA